AGTATCAGCATGGTCCTCCCTTTCCCCTTTCTGATTAAACGGCTGCCAATCTGCAAAGGCAATGTCCTCTCCCACGCCTACTGCTTGCACCCGGACATGATGAGACTGGCGTGTGCGGACACAACCGTCAATAACATCTACGGATTGTTTGCCATCCTCGTCACTTATGGCTTAGACTCAGTGTTCATCATTCTATCGTACGTTAAGATTCTAAGGACTGTTTTTAATATTGCATCCCATGAACAGCGCCTCACGGCCCTGAACACCTGCGTCTCGCACATCTGCGCCGTCTTACTCTTTTATGTCCCAATAATTGCTATCTCTGTTATGCACAGGTTTGGGGGAAATGCTCCTCGTCTTGTGCATATTCTTCTGTCCTATTCCTACCTCTTTGTCCCCCCTGTGTTAAACCCAATTGTTTACAGTGTGAAGACAAAGGAGATTCGCAAGAGGATCTCCCGAATATTCTCCAGAGACTTACTCTGAACTGGGAGTTGTGTGGGATATGGTTTCGTTGGACGAGTTTTGAATGGGTTGTTGACTGAACATAGTATCTTCTCGGAGGACATTCAAAACCTCCAACCATAAAATACTAGAACAATTCAAACTGTGTAGAGGTAGTTGCCTGAAAAAGATTCTGTTATTTCCTCTTACATCAGGGGTTCTCAAACTGGGGGTTGGGACACTTCAGGGTGTTGTGGGGCTATTACAGGGGGGTTGCGAGCTGTCAGCCTCCACCCCAAATGCCGCTTTGCCTCCAGCATTTATAATGGTGTTAAATATATAAAAAACGTATTTTTAATTTATAAGGGGGTTTCCACTCAGAGGCTTGCTCAGTGAAAGGGGTCACCTTTAGAAAAGTCAGCCCTATCTCAAAGCAGTAGATTAACAATAGCTGTAACTGAGGGGAGGCCATGCACTTTTCTGCATCTGCAAATTGAGCAACTTGCACACACCAGGGGCTCCAGACGTCCTTCTGTTGCACCCCACAAGCTCACTATGTGCCACCCCCTTTTTAAGGGAATTCATGCAAATCCCCCCCCCCATTCCTCCCCTCCGCATTCTCAGTTCTCTTCTCTCTGTCAGAGAAGTCTTCCAAAGGGGCGACATTTGAAACTGATTTGGATGGCCAGAGCGGAGACTGGGGGGGGAGAGGGACAGTTGTTATGCTGGGAGGTGTGTATTGGTCCCATCAACCACTGCTTTGATCTAGAGCCAATTTCTGAGGTGGCTGAAGCTGCTGGTTCTGCTAACCAGATGCCAAGGACTCCTCCTTGTGTTCCCCTGTTCTCCTTTTCTGTTTTGCTGATTGCTGATTGATCCACAGGGCTGCACCCGCTGATGGCTAGAACATTTCCTGAAATTTTGTAATTGATCATCTGCAGCATTCAAACGTCATCGCATTATAGACAGACAAATAAACAGAGACATGACATTGCTTTGCATGTGCGGCCGTACTTTGCTTGTCTATATACACTCAAGAACAGATAAACAGCTTTGAGGAATAAGGAGATGGACAGAAATACTTTGCAATGCAATGGGCCCATGACGTAACTTGTATTTGTTGTCCCTACTCTACATGGTGTCCATGTCTGTTCCTTCAGTGTCCCTAGCCTCTGTTTGCCAGAAGCTGGGAATGGGCGACAGGGAATGGATCACTTGGTGATTCCCTGTTCTGTTCATTCCCTCTGGGGCCCCTGGCACTGGCCACTGTGGGGAGACAGGAGACTGGGCTAGATGGACTTGGTCTGACTCAGTCTGGCTGTTCTTATGTAGACACTGTGAAAGTTGCCATTGCTGGCACTGAGGGACTGGCAAGAGCAGTGGGAAGGCGAGGACAGTGCTGCAGAGTGGTGATGCCGTTTGCATCGGAAAGGCTATTCACTAGAGCGGGTGGCACAGTGCTCATGGGACGCTTTCCTGTCTGAAAACGCCCTTTCCAGATCCAAAACGCTCCACAGGACGGTGTCCATTGTGATGACATTTCCAAGGGAGACGTGTCAAAATGAATCATTTCGACTTTCTTGTTTCATTTAATGACAACATTTTTGTTTAAAGGAGGTAAAATCATTCCAGGTTGATTTATTTATATTTTTCATTTCATTTGGACTGTTCTAAATCTATCATATGATTTAGTCATTTCAATACTTTACATGATAGGAATGAAACAATGGGATATTTCTGAATCACAGATTTACAGCATGTCCATTCAGTGAGAAATGCCCGTGCCCGTCTCACAGAAACATCGCTCAGTAGGGACTAGTTATTGTTGGGGGCCAGCGATGGAGCTTTTACGCTTCCTAAACATCCCTGGTGCAGCTCATTCGCTTTATCGTGTGCTTACAGTTCAGTTGTTACTCCCATAAATTCTCCCGAGGGGTTTTTTTGCACATACGTTGTCAATAATTTAAAGAGGGAAGAAGGCTAATTATGGCCCCAGGAACATCCACCTGACATCATAGAGGGATGTGGCAGACACATCCAGCTATGACATCACAGAGGGGCATCACCATCACCCTAGGTAACTCGGGAGGGTGGAAAATCACAAGTGTCAATGAAGCCTTCCTGCACTAGGCCTAAAATGAACCAAACTCCTTCCATGTTTAAACTCTAATCGACCTCAAAAGCCAGGTGCAATTGGAATATGTAAGCAACCAGTTATCTGTGTGCAACCCCCTGCTCACACTGGTATCAAGCGGTAATAATGAGGCCTGCATGTTTCTGGCTGAAGGGAAAAAGGACAAGATAACGGTTTAAAGAAGTTACTAACAGGCTTATAGCTGCCAAGAATGACTTAACTGCTTAAATGTAATCGTTATTTGCTTAGTAACTATTACCAGGGA